AACAAAATAAACAGCCCAGTTCTTACAAAATAGAGAAGAAAACATAATTGGATTACAACCCGACCACATAAACGTGTTTGCTGGCTCCGAAGCCCACTTAGCAATGCCGTGTGCTATTTCATTCTGAACCTAGTGCGCTGACAGTGACCACAGTCAAAAGAAAGGAGTGCTAGGATGTTTGAGAAGATGCCTGCAAAACGATGATTCGGGCATTCAAGATTACTCCATGTACTACTTCAAGACAGTCCGTACTTACCTGTTGGACCTTCACACCCAAATCGGAGGCAAAATGTAAGTCAAATCGAATGGAGAAAGCCTCAGCTGAAGTCGGAGTGAACGAACCTTGAGATGCCAAACTGCAACCACCAGACCTTCTGAAATTTTATCCAACCACCCAAACCAGTTTGTGTCTCGCAAAGCAACATGGCACTGGAGAAAACATCTGTCAACACAGCTTTTTCTTTTTTTTTTTCCCCCTTTCCAAGCCTAGTGATCATCAAATAATATTCCATCAGAATCAAACATAATGCGAGCGTCAGTCTTATCGAACTCCTCCACCCACATCGGGCCTTTATGGACAGTTAATATCATCCAAGTAATTCCTGTTCAAAATTTAATTTCGATCCTGCCACTCAAGCCACAAAAACATAACAAGAATCCGGAAGTCCGACTACTTGCCGCCCTCCGAAATGCTCAGCAATCTCAGCCTCAGCCTCAGATCTTGCCCTCGATATTTTGAGATCTCTTTCCACTAACCACACCTTTTCCAAAGCTTCTACACCCACCAACAATCAAAAAGCGTGGTTATCTTATTCCAGGACAATTAACGTTGGATTAATGTCTATGATCATGGTTTCCCTCCGATGGGAACCCCCGTGGGTAAGACGACAAAAAATCAGAAGATTTAGTCGCCATATCAGAAGCCACCTTGTACGTGTTGGGTTTTTGTAGAGTGCGTCTTGGAGAAGATGATATTCACTACAGACCGAATAATCACCATTCTTTTCAAGCTGTTAGAGGTCTTTTTCTTAATGGAAGGTACTACAATTAGAGGTGTTTATAAGCAAAGTCTAAGGCGCTGGCTAACACAGACAATGAAATTTCGGGCATTAGTTAGAGAGATACCCATTTAGATATTATCATTTTTATTCTATATTTAGGACGTTGTGAACTTCCCTTTCCTAGTCAAGCTCAACTAGAAGGTATTGGAATTGGTTAGGATTTTACTGGGGATTGGTTTCTCTTATACATGAGATATATCGTGAGGTGGTTCGTTCATTGTCCCTGACAATTTTATCACTAATAAATTCTCAGTAAGGAACTAAGCAAAATAGAACTGAGTGCCTTTAACGTGTAGCAATGTACCGTTGCCGTTTAGAATGATAGATGAATAAAAATCTTTCAATTGGATTTGTGTTATTGGACATGGTTAATAGTTGTTTTTGTTGGGTTCTATGAAGAAAATTGATCGATGTGTTTATCTGAAATCTAAGAAATTAATCCTAAGCGGAGCCGATCTAAAGTTAAGATTAGAATCTTACGGTTTAAATTTTGCCTGACTTTGAGAGGACTTAAACGGTCTACGGGATCGGACGAACTGATGACCTTTTATCTTCTGTTGTATGTCCCGACACCTCTCCAACATGTCTTGGGTTGGTGACGCCTTGCTCGGAGCTCCCTTAAAGTCTCACGTTCGATTGGTTTTTGGGAAAGAACAAATGAGATCTTGCATTTCGAAAACACTATCTTCTTCTCTCTTTCCTAGAGCCTCTCGATAATATTCTCTCATGTGTTTGCCGAGTTATTGAGGAGTATATAGTGTGTGGACTTCATTTGGGACTTATATATAGAGGCTACAAGAGGGGACCTAGAGGTCTTAATAAGAACTCCCCATGGGATTAGGTAACTTAGGTTCTGGACCACCTACGCCTGTTAAGGACATATATTGAACTTCCAATTTAACGATGAATTACATGTATTTCGTCTCTAGATTTATTCACTCAATTTATATCTAAACATGATATAACATTCGTTAATTAATCTCATTACTGACAATATAATTAATTATCTTCTTGATCCAAAATTAGTACCACTCAACCTTCTTATTATTCCGGAATTCAATCCACTACAGGATTTGACATAATAAACGTTTTTTGAGCTTATTTCGGGATGTAATAACCCCGGGATACAATAACTGTAAAATAATTATCATCACATCATGACTCACTGAATCTCACTCATTGGCTAATTAAATAAGCCACCACCGAATATATATGCCCGTTTTTATTTTGTGGGTTAAGAATACGAGTAATAATTGAGGCCTACCTCATTTACTTGGTGGTCAGTACAAAATGAGCTTATTCCGTTCAATAGATTACGAATGTATTAGTATAATTCATTAGTCAAGATCAATTAATTTCAAAATTATACTACACCCGTTCATAATATAGTTAGTTCAATTATGTCTAGGTTGTGAAACACTGTTATACTTTACAAGGCACTGGCAACAATAATATGATGTGCAAACACACACTTGACTAAACATGCATCTCATTCCAAATGAAATTGAGTTTGTAACACAAAGTCAAGCTTTTGCAGTTTACTACATACTAACAGTTTCCCCCTTGTAAATAATGGTTCATATTTTCAAACTTTCGACAACATTGTAGACATAGTTGTGACCCACCAGAATTTTATGTTTCTTATTCATTCTACTAATTTACACAAATACCATAATGTTGCTTGAATAATCTGATTCTGATCCCTGGTTTGCTAATTTAATTTACTCTTAGAACACATTGTGAGATTATCTCATGGAGAGGCTTTCATTGTCTCGAAATTCCAGAATTTCAATCCATCCGTTAATGCAATCTCCACAATTTTTGTTTATTCTGTTTTTAGGGTCCGAGGAAGAAGATACTTCTGGCACTGGAATCTAAAGTCTGATAACTGAGTGGAGTAAGCTGCTTGTTCTTTAAATAATCAGATTGTAGACATACAATATCATCAGTGGCTTATTCTCGTACAGTTTACAGCATTTCTGGAGTAGTTTCAAGTTGTATAACAGAATATGGCTTCGATGAGGGTGTCGTAGTAGTTTATTAAACACATCTCATTGAAGGAATTTAGGATCTTAGTTCGTTTTAAGATTACTGTGTCGGAACATTTACCAGTTATTTCGATACATTGACTAGTAGCTCAGCTATTGATATGCTGCATATTCCATTTTGAGCCATAACTGAAACATATCTAATGTGTACTTGAAATATTTAATGTGTGTACTTGAATGATTTGGTTGACTGGACTAATGTGTACTTGAATTATCTAATGTGTGTACTTGAATTATTTGGTTGGCTGGATTGACGATTTTAACAATTACAATGAGACATATCCAAGGATTTCGTTGTGACAATTATAATCTAAATTGTTAATGTGCCTTGTCCAACTAAAGTTTTCACTACGAAGAAATCTATACATATATGTAATTGCTGGGTTTCAACAACTAAAATTTTCACTACGAAGAAATCTATACATATTTCCGGCAATTTCAACTAGTTTTATTTAGAACTCATACCAAGTTTGCCGGAAATCGACTGATTACACACACTAACCAAACTAGCAAAGCTAACATAGGTAAGCAACTGGGTACTACACAAAGCATTACCCTAAAATAACCAAAGATGGCTATCCAGAAACAACAACAAACAGAAAAGAACTACAGAGCAAAAGAATATGTACATAATAAAAAAGAGTTATGACAAAACATGATATCCTCCAATATTCCTGACCAACATGATATCCTCCAATATTCCTGACCAGGCAGACTGAGTTCTATTTGAATGTTGAAGTTGGAGAAGAGCATCTTCATCAGGCACAATGCAGTGAATCTCCTTCCACATCAAAGAGTCACCAACAATAGTTTTCACTGAGAAAAAATATTATAAAAAAATGTGCCACGTCGAATTATAAGAGTCTACCAGCCAACCGGCAAACAAGGGAATATTTGCTCCAAAAAGAATATGTAATAAAACTATTTATACCACTTTATAATTGCGTTTATTTATTATATATTTTCTTTAATATTATTATTGCTTTTATTTATTTATATATTTCCTTTAATAATATTATTTGTATTGTTGGTGTGTAAAAGGGCTTCGATCGGGCTTGAACGACTTGGAACTGCTTCTTGAACGGTTCAAAGGCTTAGATCTACAAAATAGGTCGAGAGGTGTTCTCCGCGATAGCATTGTGACGTCAAGTCAGCCCACAGTTATGAAACGACGAATAACAACAATAATGATAAGCTTGTAGTGTATAAAGTGTGTAGGGTTTGAATTTTCATACCTCACCCCTTTATATATGGTGTTATCTTGTTGCCTAAGACTGCCTGGAGGGGTTGACATGTTGCCTTCGTACTGCCTAGGTGCTCAAATTATCTGATTCTGTTACGCCACGTGGTCTTATCCACATGTAGTTCTTATCTTAATAATAATCCATATTATCCTTTTGTCTGTCTCAGTAGACGATCTAATCATAAGACTAGCTTGGCTTCAATCGAGCTGGATTGCCTCCTTGTGGTGTTCTTGCATCGTTTCTCAGGTCCATTTGTCCATCTGCATACCTCCACATCGAGTTTCTATCAAGTCGTCCGAGGGCCCTAGCTCAACTTGCTGGCGAGCCTCCTTACATGTGTAATCACCATCGACCTAGTGCTCCGACGACCTCCCTTGTCTCCAATCTCTAATCAACCTCTCAGTCCACCTGATAAGGTTAGACCACTACTCAGGTCTAATCCGTCTGGTCTGGTTTCCCATAGCATCTGGTCCCTTCCCACTCTGTTAGGGTTAGGATAACTCGATCTAAGAGTAACTTCGTTTATCTTTTGGTCTTGCTTATTGAGCTCGCTGCTTATCTGATTGGCTAACCCCCTCGTGCTTTTGTTTATTCAATCAATATAATCTTTTCGACCTAAGGCGGAGGTCTTGAATTCAGAATTTGAATTTCAAATTTTTGACATTTTGTCAAGTCAACCTTACGTCCTTTCATCAGCCTAACGTCCTCTCGGTGTAATCATCTCGCAGTCTGTGTCATCCTCGTGAAGATAGTTCACACACACACACACACAAACACACACACACACACTGTAGCGCCCTGTTATTTTCCTAACCCGTTTATTTTAAAAGTCATTTTTCAATTTTAATTCATTTTTAGTACTAAGTATATCTATTTAAGTCATTATTCTTATTATTATTATTTTTATCATTATTTAGCACATCTTATTTAAGGGGGGCTAAGACCTACTCACTAAGTAAAAAAAAGTTCATTTCCTTTCCATAAGTTGAGAATTGACTCGAGAGTGTGCCTCGTGTTAGTCTATGGCATCAGGTGGAAATCACAGAGCTCTGAGCCATGGTGCGAACCAGGCTGAAGTCAATGATGATCAGCACGGCGGGCAAGGCAATGAGCAGAACATGTTGGGAATCGGGCAAGCTCAGCTAGTGACTTACTTCCACAACCTTCATCTTCCTACGTTCAGCGGGCCGGAAGGCCTCACCTTCATGGATTAGTGGTTCTTGAAACTCGAGCGCACCTTTGAGCTCCTTGAGTGTTCGGAGGCCCAGAAGATTCTATGTTCCCAGTATTAGGTAGAAGGAGATGCGGGCCGCTGGTGGATGAGCTACTAGTTCCTGAGGCCAACAGGAAAGCAGGATGCCCTTACTTGGGATGGATTCAAGAAGATTGTGGTGGAGCAATAATATTACCCGAAACACTATTGTGAAAAGATTGAGAGGGATTTATGGTATCTGAGGCAGGAAGACAAGTCCATGGATGAATACAAGGAAAGTTCACCTGCATGAGCTTCTTCGTGGAGCACTTGGTAGACACGGAAAAGAAGAAGGCCCGACGCTTCAAGAACGACCTCAAGGCCGACAGCCGACACACGTCACAAGTCACGGAACTCTGACCTATGCCGAGACAGTCTACCGAGCCCAGCAGGTTGCAGCGAGCCACAGACTAGAGCCACCAATAGCACCACCAGTTGTAAATCTAGAAAGATAAAGTGGGAGCATTCCCAGGTGACGGAATCATCCAGGCAGACAGGCCCTTATGCTCAGAATGGTTGTAAGAGATATAATGGGAGGTCGGGTTCGTGACTTATGGATTCCTGGACTAAAACAATAAAAGGAGAAAGAATTCAAGTAAGAAGGACTGAATCACTTGCTTAAGGACTCTTGCCAAGATAGAGTCGTGGTAAGTTAAGGAAGTAGAATCTGGGTGGATCTCTTCCATAACAAACACTCTATTCGGTTTGGAGATATACATTCCTATATAAGGATAACAGGTTCTCTCGATTTACACAACACACAATCCACGCCTATTTTCTATACTATGTGTTTACTGTTTTGATTGAGTTCTGACTTGAGCATAGAAGAGTTTTCCGTCGGGACCCCCTTCTGGCATATCGCAGGTTATTAGGAGCTTAAGGAAGGAGATTGTTCCAAGTGGAAGGTCTTCAACCCGATCGTGACTAGGCGACGTATTAAAGCTGATCACTCCCTCTCTTGCGGCAAAGCTGACCTCATCTCTCTATCTCTTAGAAGCTCGAGCATGCTACTTTACTACATTGTTTGAGTCTCCATCCTTAGGTTTTCCTTAATTCATTTGAATTACACCCCTCTTAGGTGGGGTCGTGTCCTCCTCGACCTCTCGATCGTCTCGATCTCTTTTTCTTTTAACACAATCACCGTCTGCCCTCATTCCATGTTTTTACTCCTTGTCCTTTTATATAAACTCTTTGAGGTGACTAGTGGAATCTTCACTATAGACCTGATTTGGGATGCGTAGGGCCCTCCATTCTCGACCTCGGCCAGGTCACCATGTTTCCGTCAAGATTCTTCTCAGTGGTCTCCAACACTTCTTACTGATGTGACCTCAGTGAGGTGTACTTGTTTTATCTTTGCCCATCTTGCATAGGTCGACGTTTCCATCGGTCATCTCTCATTCGGGGAACCATTCATTTCTTTTTTTCATCTCTAGATGAGACAATTTTTCAACTTGGCAAACTCGACTTTGGCCTCATCCATGTTACTGTACATATTACACCTAGTAAGGACCTCATCGTAGGTCATCGTTGGTTTTTTGGACAAGAGCTCATGCACGGACCATCTCGCAGTGCCCCATAAACACTTCTGCCTTCACCTGTTCCGAGGTCGAAGGTATCTCAACAGGCACCCTGGTCTATCGACCAACATAGCTTCTCAAATTCTCCACTTTCTTGCTGCATAACCATCATTGTGGGGTAAGTTTTCTCCTTTGACCTCACGCTGACAAACTGATTGAGGAAAATATTTGTGAACTTCTCAAAGTCCCTAATCGACCTCAAGGTGAGCTGATGAAACCAGTCTTATTCTCCCCCTTGTAAGGTCGCTGGAAATGCTCGACAACTCACCACATCTGAGTACCCATGCAGAATTGCCATGTTTTGACCTCAAGCGTCAATCTGGGTCTCTAGACCTATCATATGTGATGCTAAGCTCTCTGAATCCATTGACAGGTTAGCCTTCAGAATCCTCTGCACGAACGGGTGACCACAAGCTCTCACTGGCTTCTTCGTTTCAACTTTCGCTTGCAACTCCCTCAGTTGTTCGGCCATTTTATCTACCACGAGGTCACAATGTTGACCTCCACCCATGCTACTCGAGATTTTGACCTATGTGTCTCACTTTGTGATCGCAGTGATAGTAACTACATTGGACATCTGTTGTTGAGCGTACCGTCGCCACTGCATTGGCGATCTTCTTGCTCAACTCTTCCTTCATCAGCGTGATAACATGTTGATCTGCTGGGGCCACAATGCCCCTCAGTGGTCCCATCGGCAAGACTGTAGCATTATCTGGCTGCGTCTAGGGTAGAATCGTGACCTCGTTTCTCAATATGACCTTCAT